ATATATATATATGTATAAACACATATATATAATCTTATATCTTAAATTTACTCACACATATATATATATATACACCGATACAGATGTGCGTGGATTATATGTACACATGTGTTTATGTGTGTGTCATGAAACTGTCCACAGAACATAGGCTATGATCGGTTAAGGTATGCACGATCTGTGAACCAATTTATTTTGGATATTTTGGCAGTTTGGCAACGGGCCTTGGGTGTCGTGATATGCGTGACCCTACTGCGTCTGTACCCTTTTTCGAGGAACCCTAGAACTATTGTTAAGCGTATTAACCTGTTCTTGTGCAGTAGAACAACATCTGGTCCTCGGGAACAGCGCGAAGCTTCAGGGGAGCCAGCATCTTCTCCCTTGAGTCAGCAGCCCTAAACCCCAAAGCAGCTCTTGGCTGCGACAGGTTCGGCCGAGTGATCTGCATCTCGGCCCTAAAGAACGAGATCTACTCTTCTGGTTTATGGTGGATGGGGCGGGTCCGTTCTGGTTCGACGGCCCAAAGCTGTCTGTGTGTGTGTGTGTGGTGCTGTTGTCTTAATGCAGGTAGGGTGAAAGCAGCAGGCGGCTGGAGAACCTCAAGGCTAGTCTCCCCAAAGCCCTATGACCCCTACACCTTATACAACCCCAACCCGCCACAAAAGCAGACCGCATTGTGTGCTCTTGGCGATCTGGCACCACTGGGACCTTGTCGCAGGAGACCAAAACACCCGCAGGGCTTAGGATCTAGGGGCCTTGATAATTAGAATAGGGTTTGGGGTATAGTATACTATAACTGTAATTAGGAACCCTAGAATCCTGAGCCTGCACCAAACATCCTGTTGGCTGCATGCCTTCGGCGCTAAAATCCTGAGCTGCATAGGCTCTGAATCGGAGTAGCCGCCCAACGTCATGCAACAGAAGCCCTACAAACCCCGAAGCCCTAAACCCTAAACCCTAAACTGTAAACCCTAAACCCTAAACCCTAAACCCTAAACACTAAACTGTAAACCCTAAACCCTAAACTGTAAA